TGGAGATAACAAACACAAAAATATCTCAGTACCACCCCCAAATTCTTCTGGGAAAAAAAAAAAAAAAAGGGGCAATTTAAGTGCTTTAATTTTTCCTTAAAGAGGAGCCCATCAATCAACCCTTGGTCTGGGGGTACCCCTGTTTATACCTGGATCCTTCCCGGTGTTCCCTGGGGTATGTGCTGGTTCTGACTGAGGACCCAGTGCCAGTGGTTGTAATATTTTACTGTCAGGCACATTGTGGGGCTCGGTGGGTACAGTGCACTGTTAGGAGCTTTTCCAGGTTTTATGGGGGTAATTAGAACTTTATGACAGCGGCGAAACGGGAGGGGTCCAGTCCCCATAAACGGGTTTATAATGGATATAAACTATGCACCTCTGTAACTGAGCAAGATTAACACTTTAGGGACAATTTGAGTGGCAGCCCAAAAATCAGAGCTGCCCTCGGCGCTGCCTGGACCTGAATTTGGGAGGGTGACAGTCCCATCAGAGACCCAGCTGTCTATGGTGTCAATGGGTGGAGCATCACTGAGTCCAGCATGACCCCAAAGATTATATTTTACCTTTCTCACCCCACTTTCACACCCTGGTCCATGTTGGCGGCTGCATCCCTGTGGGTCGGGCAGAGCTGAATCCCTGCTGCAGCTGGATCTTCAGTGACTTTTTGCAGTCTATTTTGGGGTCAGGCATTGCTGGTGATGGCAAAGCTCTGGGCAGAAATGCAGCCTGGATTTGGGGGAAGCAGCAGATGCTGCTGCCAGAGGTTGGCATGTGTTGTGGGACAGCGGCAGCAGGGAAAGACAGTTAAAAGTACAGTGAGTTTTTGTTTTAAAAAGTACAATTTGCTTATATCAACATGACTCAAGGCGGAGCAGAACCAAGCTGCTTCACTGCTTGTCCCTGCCAAAGGCACAGGACTGGTGTGTTCCGAGAAAATGGCACAAGGCTGTGATGAAAGCGATAAAGGTATTGATCGTTGCCCCAAACCCCCCCATTGCCCTCCCAGGTCGGGTCAGGGGGATGGTTCTGGCACCCTGATGAAGATGGGGGTGGTGGGGCTGGCTGTGGAAAGCCGTGGGTGCACAGGACCCCCTGCCCTGGGGGCTGTCACGCTGCCTGTCCCCGTCCATCGGGTTAAGGCTACGGGAGCCGGACCCTGTGGCTTGTCTGGAACAGGGGAAAGCAGTAAAACATTTCACGGGCTGTGCAGCTCAGGGGCCACACAATGGCCAGGTCCCATAAACAGACCATTATATTATGGCTGTAGCTCCAGTAAAGAAAAGGGCCCTGAAGAGGGCAGGCTCCACGGCCAGACCCATTCCTGGGGATCCCCATCCAGACTCCTCTCTTGAGCAGCTGTGGGGAGAGGCTGAAGGGGAATAAATCTCTTTGCACAAGGGCTGCTTCCAGCTGTGGAGGCTCAGGAGAGCAGCAGGAGAGCAGTGGTGTCGGGCTCTGATGGCCCCCTGAGCCCCAGCTCATAAACCCTGGACCCCAACTCGGTCCGGGAGGAATCCTTTGGTCCTGGAGATATCCCCGTGCATTCACCCTGGCTGGGGGATCCTGTGGGGGGGGATCCCAGAGGTTATGCTGCAGGGGGAAGGCTGGATCCCGGGGCTTGGTGACCCCTGGGATGGCAGAGTGTGCCGAGGGGGGTTTGCTGGGAAGCCCCAGGGAGCTCGGAGGGAAGGTGGTACCATCATCAGGGAGCTCGATGTGTCACAGCAGTGACAGCAGCAACAATGCCTGCTGCTGGTTTCCTAATATTAATTATCTGATCTGCCCAACTCCAACCCAGCCCTGGGGGCATATAAATAATAGCACCCATCCCATTCTAGGAATGGGAAAGCCCCAAGACAGGATAGTTGATGGCTTCCTAAAGGCAGAAGGCTTTTTGCTGCCCAGCAAGCGGTTTCTGGGCAGACCTGGGTGCTCACAGGCTTGAGGGACTCAGGATCCACCCACCAGCACAGCTCCTGCCTCCATGAGAGCGGGGTCCTAATGGGGCTGGACGGTGCCACCACTGTCACCGACCCAGAGCCTCACCTCACACTCCTCAGGACAGTTAAACTTCATCAAGACTCGGAGTCTTCAGTGGTTTTATCTAGAGACCCAAAATCTCGGTCTCCAGACAATCTGGGAATCTCGGTGCTGGTTATTGTTCCTCAAACAATCAAAGTCTCCTCCTTGGGGTTGCAAGGAAAAGCTTGAAAATCAGCTTTTAACCTCTCGTATGTTTTAAAGCCAACTTTATAACTTCAGCTGTCTAGGCTCATAAGTTAGAACATCCTCAGTTGGATATGGCGTGATTTGGGGTTTAAAAAGGGCTTTTTGTTGTTGTTGTTCTTACTGAACCCAAAAGAGCTTGAAGACAGCAGAAACTCTGATTTCCTTCCCAAGAGGAGGTGCCTGTGCTCCCGTCTATCTTCCAGATCGCGCCCAGAAGAAAGGGCTTTATTTTATCTCCCCTCCCATTGTTTAACCAGCGCTGTGGGATCCCGGCCCAGGGGCTGAAGCACCCTCTGCACGAGGCCGGGGCCGCGGGAAGAATGTGTGTGACAGTGCCCTGGTTGAGTAATGTTTACCCTGTGCACGGCAGGGACGTCCACTCGGGCCGGCAAATATCCACCTGCCAGAGGACATTCTTTTATTATCAGGGATAAAGGGGTTTGCTGGGAAATGATCAGGAACCAGACATCGTGGGGAGATTCCTATCTGTGGGACGTGTTTAACCAGCTGATGGGGAATATTCAGAGGCGATTATGGAGTGGCTTTGCTGTGGTTTTGGTGGAGGGTGTGGGTGGCCCTCTGTGCTTGGGCAGATGCTTTCGGAGCTGGTGGAAAGTTCCTGGGCTCCAGTTATTATTTCCTTCCTTTTCCTTGGTTCAGAGCTTAATTTTAGAGCCCCTCTTAGAGCAGCTTCCACCAAGCCACTCACCATCAGCTCTTCCCCTCAGGCTCCCGGGAGAAGGACATCCCAAAATCCCAGGAGGAAGATGCTTTCCTGGGGTGGGTTTGTAGCTGGGAGTGTCCATGCTGGGCTGGGACAGCCAAGACACCACTGGCAGTGTCCACAGGCTGAATCTCCCCAGCTGATGGTCATTTTGGGGAGCTGTCCCCAACACCCCTGTGCAGTGGCCGGGGGATCATGGGTGGATGATGCTCACGGAGCTCTCAGTTGGGAAGGTGGCTTTGCCATAGCTTTCTTTCCCAGGAGAGCTGTGGGCTGCCTGTCCCTCACCCACCACTTCGATCCCAGGGCAGTGAACCCGGCTGGGAGCACAGTGCTGGACTCCTCCTAATAAATGGCTTTTCGCCATAGTCGTCAAGGCAGCCCCGTAAAAGACGCTTTTGTTTCCCATGGGTTTTCCTGGGTTAATTATTTGTGATCTGTGGATGCCTTTCCATGACACATGGCTGATCATATGGTTATCAGTGCAGGCTGCTTTAGCCAAATTAAATATATTTATATAGAAGACCTGTGCTCGAGCCAGATTTGCCTTCTGGGCAGGGGTGGGC